TCTGAATCAACAGCAGAAATATTTACAGGCAATTCCTTTACCCACCTTTAATTAATGCTTTGGCTTCTGGATAAAGTTCTTCATAATTTTTGAATGAGGAGACCCAGCTGCCATTTGGTACAGAGGTGAATATATAAGCTGCAGGGAAGGTCTCAAATGCTGTTTCACCACCTATTTTGAGAGTGCTGTTTGTAAATGTAAACCCTATATAGGTAAGAACGAATTTTTAAATTACTGTTTTGTATAAAAAGATACCAATACATTCTTCTGGGTATCATTAAGAGAGAATATCATGAATAGATGTTTCAGCAGGGAAGCTGTTAAAGTTGATAGGTGACATCAAGTGACTTTTATTTGCTAGAAGGGGTGTAAAGTTTTAAAACAATTAACTTACACAATTTGTCCATTAAAACTTTGTTTAAAATCCTCCTGTCTAATTATCAATGAATAATGAATATTCAGGATTGTGCCTGGGTACATGTTTTACAGATCTAGTTTTTAAATAGCCGTAGCTTAATGATAGAGTACATGTTTTTGCGTATAGAAGGTCTTGGCATTTCCAGATTGCAAAATTATTGTATGAAACTCTGGAGAACCTCTGTAAACAGTACTGAACATGATGGGCTGGCTTGGTATTCAACAGTATTCCGTGTTCCTATTATGTTTACTTAAGGACATTTTATGCTGTATGTAGCCAGATTTTTATGCAGCCAGAAAGTTGGAATGCAGAATGTGTGTGTATTTTTTTTTTTTTTATGCTGCTGTTTTAAAGAAAGGAAACAGGTTTAATAGAGTCGCTTACTAGTAAGTTCTCTTGTTTCTTACATCCTGATCTAATGTATTCACAATTTACAGATTTATCCTATTAATAAAAGAAACATAACCGAAGTATAAAATACATTGATATTCATTAAAACATATTAAAGGTAAAGGTTCCCCTTGCACATATGTGCTAGTCATTCCTGACTCTAGGGGCTGGTGCTCATCTCCATTTCAAAGCCGAAGAGCCAGCGGTGTCAGATAACGTCTCTGTGGTCATGTGGCCGGCATGACTAAATACCAAAGGGGCACAGAACACTGTTACCTGCCCACCAAAGGTGGTCCCTATTTTTCTACTTGCATTTTTTACATGCTTTTGAACTGCTAGGTTGGCAGAAGCTGGGACAAGTAATGGGAGCTCACCCCATTACGCAGCACTAGGGATTCGAACTGCTGAACTGCCGACCTTTCGATCGACAAACTTAACGTCTTAGCCACTGAGTCATCACGTCCCCTTACCTTAAAACATATTACTGTTCTGGAAATAATGATACATTAGCCCAGGTTTTCCTGTTTATCAGTCATTATTTGAAGTGAACAAGAATTCTTAATAAATCTCTGATCTGCCCTTCAATACTCACACTATTATAAGATAAGAAAGTCCCCTTTAACCTCACTGCTCCCACAGCCTCCCCCACCTACCTGAAGCACCCCACAGTCCTTACCTTACCATACTCTCTGCTTGGATTTCAGCTCTCTTTTGTCTCTAGGGACTGGCTGAAAGAGATCTGAAGATTTGAATTCCATTCCTACAGGAGGAGTTCAACTTTCCTACTCTTAGCCATTGCCAGGTCTTGTTGTCATATACTTGCTAAGGTTATTTTTTTATGTGAAGGTAAAGATTTCCCCTGTCCAGTTGTGTTCAACTCTAGGGGTGAGTATGGCTCATCTCCATTTCTTAGAGAAGGGAGCCACCATTATCTGAAGACATTTCCATGGTCATGTGGCCAGCATAACTATACGCTGAGCACAGAGAACGCTGTTATCTTCCCACTGAAGTTGTACCTATTTATCTACTTGCATTTGCATGTTTTTGAACTGCTAAATAAGCAGGATGTGGGACAAATAACGGGAACTCACCCCATTACCCAACACTTGAGTCTCAAACTTTCTGGCCAACAAGACCAGTATCTTCTTAACCTTTGAGCCAAATGTCCCCCCCCCCTTTTTTTTTTAATGTACTGGCCATCTAATACTTTGACTTGCCATGTTTCTTTTCTTTTCCTTATCTGATCTTTCTTATAAGCCAGTTTGGTCTCCAATATTCCACATACCTTCATAGTTTATTAGCTTCAGTCCATCTTCTTCGCTGTCCTTCAGGTATTCTTCCAATGCCCTTTTTTCTTCCTTAATTTTCTGGGGTATTTGCAACAATTCCATTCCCATCCAGTTTCCTTGGTAAATAGAGTCTGTCAAGCTGCTGCGTGAATGAAGAGCCCAATTCACCATCATTATTTTTCTGGTCTTCTATACAAGACCTGTAGTTCTGTTTAAGTGCAATCCAATATTCCAGTTGTGTATCTTATGACTAGGATTGCTCAGGTGTTATGATATTTGAAGATGATGATATTTCCTCCACTGAGTTTGGACTTTAAGATCTTCTTCACTCTTCCAATAAATCTATAAATAAAAAGTTGATATTATAACTCTATTAGGAATCTTAGTCTACCGAAGGAAGTTAAAAGCCACCTTTGGTTTATTTTATTTTCTTCCCTCACTTCACTATCTCTATCCAAGTCTGTTCTTCTTCAGAAAACCGATCTGTGATTGTACTAAAAGAGTTTGATTTGAAAACAGGGTTGGAGAAGATGCTTTCTAAATAGCATTGAAGTTAACAAATAATATAAATAGAACTTGAAACTGCATCACATATGAATACAGTTCACTGTTTTTTTGTTTTCATTGATCAGTACAATTTTCTACCCCTGTGACCTGAGAATTTCATAAAGGAAATACTAGTACAAATGCTCAAGCAATATCCAATCCAAATGCTAATTGTTTCGGTGTGAGCATATTCCTTGTTGTTTTTGACTTCCATCTAGTGGAGACTGTATTGTATTGCAACAAATGTTTCATTTACAAATGTTCCAAATGTAGTTTCTCAATCCAAATCTGTTAATTCAGAATTAACAGCGAGATTGCCCAGGGTTTGATTTAGGAAGGAACACCTCTCATCTCTTATTAAGATTTCAGAATTTTATTTATTATACAATGCTATGAGCTGTTTGATTCTTTATTATATTCTATCAAAATCAAACTATAATCTGGATCCTGGACAGGATGGCAGAAACATTTAAATATTTTGTCATGTTGATTTGGGTCAAGAAGAAATCCTTGAAGAGCACTAAAGGCTTTAGCAGCTTGTCAATAACTAGGAAAAGGACCAGCCAAGCCAAGCACCAGAAGATTCAAAGCTCACATGGAGAAGGACTTAGATGGGTAGCAATAATAGTAAGGGGATGTTTGCCTATCAGAATTGGGCTTTGTTTGAACTACTGAAGAATTACCATCACATCAAGTGAGCAGTTCTGGTTATTCAGACAGATTATCTAAACCAGGGGTGTCAAACTCAAGGCCCGGGGGGCCAGATCCAGCCCACGGGTTGCTTAGATCTGGCCCGCGGGGCCACCCTGAAAACAGCCAAGGACTGACCCGTGGTGCCTCTGCCAACAAAAATGGAGTTCAGGAGGGCCGCACGTGGTCCCCGCGAGCTCCATTTTTGCTGGCAGAGGGTTGCAAGAGGTCATCGTAGCCAGATGACCAAAACAGAGCTCAGGAGCCTGTTTTTGCTGGCAGAGCACTCGCGCCCCCAACACGAGTGATGTTGAGCTGGCCATGCCTACCCTGGCTACGTCCACCCTGGCCCCCAAGATCAAACACAACCCTGATGAGATCCTCAATGAAATCTAGCACCCTAATCTAAACTAATAGAAAGCAGATTCTGTGCATAAGTCCTGCATGCCTTCACTGATTGTGTAGAGGTGTCCAAATTTTCATTCCTATCTTTTGGAATTGAAATGTTTCCAGATGGTTGCCTCTGAGCAATACCCACTCAAATATATTAGGCAGCCCTTTTCTCTTTTCCTACTTGAAAAGTTTTCTGTTGGAAGAAATCAAATAATGCCAAAAAATAGATGTGAGAAGATAATGAGTTAGAAAGGGTAGACAGTATTGTCTTCTGGGCTCATAACAAAAGTCCAGGACTGAAGCAGGACAGTTGCACGATAAAACATCACCTAAAAATTATCTTAATTCTCAGAAATAGCAGTTAAAATGGTATTCCTTTTTCTATTCAGTCTGAAATTAAAAATGGGTCAGAAAGTATAGAGCTTTTTACATTTTTCTGTGGTGCTAGAAAGAATTGCTGTCATAATGATAAATTGTGTTGATGCTCATTGAATCTTGCAGCTGCTGGGACTTTATGTTATGATATGGAAAACAGCAGGATAAAATTGTGCAAATCAGTCAGGAGACAGGTTCAGCATCATGGGTTTTATGGGTAGGATTGGGTTTGCAGACTGTTCCATAATGCTGTAATTAATGAAGAAAGGCATTTATCTAGGCTAATCTCTGATATATAAATGTTATATGTAAAGACAATATTCTTTTTTAGGGAATGGAAACTTTCCACTGAATTAAAAAAAAAAAGACTAATTACAAAATTTCAAAGTTTGACACATTTATCCACTGCAAAAAAAAGTAAAATCAAGACTATAGGCACCAACAACTTCAAAATTTTGAAACTAGTCTTGTTTTTTTATTTTTAACAACTTACAAAAATCTTGCAATCGGGCCAGTGAGATAATTGTAACCACACATTTAAGCCAAATTTACTTCTTTCCACATTAAAATTTGTGGAGAAGGAAATTATTTTGTTTTCTCCTGTATTCTCCTGCTATTTCCTTTTATTATTATTTCCCCCCTTGCTTTAACTTCTTTATCCATTTGAAAACTAGCTTCAGAGAAGGAAGAAGTTTTATATAGCTAAAATGTTCCTCCAGTTTTCTAATCTTGTGCTCTCTGGATGTACTGGGTTTAATCTCCCATCACGCCCGACCACAAGATGGAAATCTTGAAGTTGAACCAAATATCACCAAGTCAGTTAAGGTTGTCCTTGGTATTAATTGTGTGGGGTTGCTTAGGTGTTACATTGCCTTAAATATATTCTTATTTCTTTGCAGTTTCGACGTAGACAATGGCACCTCATCGGGACGGAGTCCCTTGGATCCCATGACAAGCCCTGGATCAGGGCTAATTCTCCAGGCAAATTTTGTTCACAGTCAACGCAGAGAATCCTTTCTCTACCGATCAGATAGCGACTATGATCTGTCACCAAAGTCTATGTCCAGGAACTCCTCTATTGCCAGTGATATGTAAGTATTTGGAGCCTTTGCAATCAGGTTTTTTTTTCCCAAAGGAGAGAATAGTTAATATGTAGAAAATGTAAGGCATTAGAATTCATGAATGGAAATTTCACAGAAACACATTTAAATTGTGTATTTGGAGAATATTAACAATAAGAATTGTTGAATTGTGAAACAGGTTTTAAAGGTCATAGATTATGACCCACAGAAAGTAAAATAACTGATAACTTCGTTGTAGGAATTCTGTTGCAACCTCTTCAGGAGGCAAGGAAATTCTTTACTGCAATTTTATTAGATAGTCAGGATTTGATGTTGACAAGATCTTCTGGTTGGGTTACCATGTTATTTTAATTAAAATAATTAGACGTTTTGAATCTGCCTAAGCTTCCTTATTTTCAACATAGCTAATACAACTTTACTAAATATAAAGTGAGAATTTTATATTGAACAGTGTCAAATCATGTTGATAGCCCATGAGCAAATAATAGCAAAAATAAACCAATTCCTTTTGTACAGAAAAGTAAAAGAAAACTGCATGAATTTTCTTTCACTTCTTTTGAGGCAGAATCATATTTTTACAGATTACCTTAGATCTTTACCTTATTGGCTATTAAGTTCTCTTTTAGGGTAATTTCCTTGAAGCCTCTTCCCATCTTGCATTGATACCCAGTCCTCTTTCTACTCCCCCTTTAAAACAATAGTTGCTTTTGGATTCCTTGTTGCTAAGATTTTGTGGAAGACTGATCCCAAGTACCTCTAGTTTGCTTTCTAAACTCCTAGAAAGCAGAATTTAGAACACTCTAAGTGTTCTAAATTTTGAACACTTAGTATTGGAGTTCTTTTTTAGCTGCCTCCCAAATATATTTTTCCCTCTTCCCCCCCTTCCCCGCTTTCTTTTTTTTATCCATTTCCTTCTCCTTCTTCTTTACTTTTCCGTTTTACACATTCAAGTTGACATTGTAACAATAAAAGTAATGTTTTGCCAGGTAGAACACTGTATTCAAAAGGAGAAAATATAACACCCGCAGATACTTCCTGCAATACCTCCTGCTCCACCCATGCATTATTTGTTTTATACTATTTTAATTAAATAATCATTCTGAAATTTGCTTGCTCAGTTGGAATTCATTGGAAATGTGTCATAAAAAAAAAGTTAAACTGTGGACAGGAGCAGGAAAAAGCATCCCAGAATGCTAGAGCTAATAGTGTGAACTAGTTTTGCAACTAGCCCAAGGCTCTATATGGCCTTTTTTTTTTTTTTTTTTTTTTGAGTAGGCAAATTTTCTGTGGCGTATGTTGAACTGACCTTGGCTGATTTAAAATTAAGCAGTCAAATCTGGTTTGTATTTGGAAAAGAACCTCAGAGGAATTCCATGGCTGTAGGCTAGAAAAAAAGTTGAGGTAAAGTTTCCTGGAAGAAGGCTGTGGCAGATGATTTCTGTATTGCTGCCAGAAAACTACATAGAGATGACTATGAATTCATCAGAATCCAGATCAAAATGAAAATGTTCGCTTCTTACCTCATGGCAGCCATTGCTAAGAGTGCCATGCAATGTTGCCCACTTTCTCAATGTTTCACCAGTTTCAAATCTTTTACTTGACTATGTATTGACTATGAATTAAGCAGATATATGAATAAGAATTTTTTTTTTCATTTTAAAAACCTTGATTTTGCTTACTTGATATATTCATTTCCATAAACACACGCACAAGCGCACAATTTTAGAAACAGAAGCTTATATAGATACGGAGAATGAGGAAAATGAAGGGGGGGGAACCCTTCTTTTGAGCTAAGAAGTTTGCTAATAATGGCTGAATGAGGTTTTTCCTGTCTTCTTCAGTTACAGCCTTAAAGCAGCATTCACACACATTAAAGATGCCAAGGTTGAGAACGTTGCCTTAAAGAATAATAACCTTTTCCCATATTTAGAAATTTGCTAAGGTTGACATTCTTTCTTTCTGTTTAATGCAATGCATTTGACATTTGCTTTATCTCCAAAATGCTCATTATTTCCTGAGTTGTTAGCAAAATCTGAAGTGGTTTGCTAAGTAAAATAGAAAATTCTTTTTTTCTTGGTTTAAATTTGATTCACTATGGAAAAAAAAGAACAGAGCCATTTTTATATACCTACAAGTCCTGTTACGTACAGGACAAAAATAAGTTTGGCAGTAGGGTATATAAGAGCCGTGCTGGCGCAGTGGTTAAAATGCAGTACTGCAGGCTACGTCTGCTGATTGCCAGCTGCCAGCAATTCGGCAGTTCAAGTCTCACCAGTGGTTGACTCATTCTTCCATCCTTCCGAGATGGGTAAAATGAGAACCCAGATTGTTGGGAGCAATATGCTGACTCGGTAAACCACCAAGAGAGGGCTGTAAAGTATTGTGAAGCAGTATATAAGTCTAAGTGCTATTACTATACCAACATATCTAGTAAGGAATCAGATTTAACTGCTTTTAAATTTGAACAAGTTAAACCCTTAGTCCTTAAGGAATAACATTTGCAATGAAATATTTCAATTTTTTTCCTAAGTTGATCACATTGATGATTAATTTGACCAAAATTTTTAGTAAACGCTTAACATATTTGTAGCAAGGAGAAGCTGGCCCTTTAAATAACAATCTGGCCATAGGTGATGAGAGTCATGTGACCCCTGAGAACCAATAGAGGAAAACCAGAGGTTTTATTTGTTTTTGGCAGGAAGAGTTGGCATATTTTGCAGTTGGCTGGAATCCCAGATAAGGGAGGTTACTTCAGGAAAGACTAGAAAACTCAGGAGTTGTTTTGTTGTAGGCTAGAAACACATTAGGGTTTTTCTATATTTTATTTTATGGGGTTTTTTTAATTGTACATTGCATGTCTGGAACTTTATCTTTCTTTGACATCTGTAATAAGCTTGATTTTTTTTTAATGAATTCTGGAGTTGACTAGCTACCTTCTAGCACCAGCCTTATATTTGCTAAGCAAATTATTTGCAAAAATTGTTGGCTTTCCCTTCCTGTAATTTACTTAGACCTAGGTTTGGGTGAAGATTTCCCCTTAAATCCTCTCCTGTGGGGAAACAGTTTATAACGAAGAAGTTATGGCAGCAAAGGGACCAACTTTTTGTCACTATTAACCTCCAAGCACATGTTACCAAAGCATCACAGAAGAAAGGTCTATGGAGATTCTCAGTCATTCAGGTCATGGTTGTCCCAAGGATGCTTTTTCAAGAGGCAACTGGACTTCCTTTGTTTTTCCTTGAAGACATTTTGCCTCTCTTATAGATAGATTAATAGAGTTGGAAAGGACCTTATAGGTCATCTAGTCCAACCCCCTGCTCAAGCAGAAAACAAATGGCAGTCCAATCTTTTCTTGAAAGTCTCAAGTGATGAAGCTCCCACAACTTCCGAAGGCAAGCTGTTCCATTGGTTGATTGTTCTCACTGTCAGAAAATTCCTCCTCATTTCTAGATTGAATCTCTCCTTGGTCAGTTTCCATCCTTGTCTGGCCTTCAGGTGCTTTGGAAAACAGTTTGACCCCCTCCTCTCTGTGGCAGCCCCTCAAGTATTGGAACACTGCTATCATGTCTCCCCTGGTCCTTCTCTTCACTAGACTAGCCATATTCTCATCCAAGAAGCTTCTTCAGTTCTGACTCTGACGCAGTCATAACCAAAGAAACTTCTTGGATGAGAAGTGAAATGTCTTCAAGAGAAAATAAAGAAAGTTCAGTTGCCTCTTGAAAAAGCACCTTTGAGACACTGAGAAAGGGGCTTCTTTGACTCTGAGGGCATCTTCATTATTACAATGTTGTACTGCTTTTTCAGTAATTCTAGTTTTTCTGTACCTTGTTATAGTGATTATAGACAAGCTTCTGTAGCATGTTTCTGCCTGCTTAATACAAAGAGAAACTGTTCTGGTGATTTCTGTTCTCAGGTTTTTAGTTTCTAGTTTAGTTTCTAGTTTTTTCATCAATCCTACCAACTGCAGATAACTTATTCTCATTTTTATTGTATCTGTGTCTCTGCACCCTCAATTTAGCTTTGGCTTCTGGCAAGTCCCTCAAGGTATTTTGGTAAGATTTCAGAAGTGATTTGCCATTGCCTGTTTCCTAGGAGGGGGAGAAAGTGATTAACTCAAGATCACCTAACCAATAGTGTTGTATCATCTACATACCTCAAATTGTGTATTGTTCTTCCCCCAATCTTCAGTTCCAGGCGGTTCCAGATCTAAATTCCTCATAACTTCAGCATACAGATTGAACAAAAATGGTAAAATGGTCTAACTCCCTTACTGATCCTGAACCAATCTGTATTGCCATAAAATGTTCTCACTGTTGCTTCCTGATCAGTGTACAGTGATCTGAGAAATCTGATCAAGTCAGTTGGGATACCAAGATCCCCCTCTCTCTCCCCCCTCCCTCCCTCTCTCTCACACACACTAAATGGATGGATGGATGGATGGATGGATGGATGGATAGATAGAATGAACAAGAACATTATTTTGCTTGATAGCCATAGTGGTGAATAAGTGCAAAAACCCTGCAGAGGAAAAAAAAAGTAATAACCATAAATACAATCAATATATCATAATCAGATACTTATTTCATGTAGAAATGAGATGAATAAACTTTATTTCTAGGAGAGAGTTCATAAAATTGCAACCCAGGCTGTAAAGTAGCCAGCTCTTTCTTTTTAAGAACATTGCTTTATGACTCAGTCTGTTATACTTATTCAAAAATGGTCAAGTATTGTCTATAGTTAAAAAAATGATATTAAATTGCAGCAATAATTGGAACCATTTGAGCCAATTTGCAAGTTCCAATAAATCAGATTCAGCAGTAGGTTCAGGTTGCCAAATTATTCCTCCTCCCACCTGTAGATGTAACAACCAAATTAGGGAATTTTCCTCTGTGACAATTGCACATAGTGTTCCAACTGGGAATCCCTGATTGTGTTTTGTTTGGTGTAAATGTCCAGAGAGAAAATCTCCGGCTTCTCTTGCTGGTCTCCTAAGAAACCAGAAGCTGAAGCCGTGAGTTTGAAGCTTTGTAATTGTTCTGGGTTATTGGGTACCATATTTGTCAGGCTGCGTTACAAAGCCTGATTATTTGTTTTCACTCTTTTTGAATATGCCAGTTTAAAACAGGAACCAGTCACTTTCTATTATACAGGTAGTCCTCGACTTACAACAGTTCATTTTCTGAATGTTCAAAGTTACAATGGCACTGAAATATGAGACTTACAACCATTTTTCAGTTATGATATTTGCAGAATGATCATCAGAGGTGGGTTTCAGCAGGTTCTGACCAGTTCTGGAGAACTGGTAGTGGAAATTTTGAGTAATTCGGAGAACCGGTAAATACCATCTCTGACTGGCCCCGTCCCCATCTATTCTCTGCTTCCCAAATCCCAGCTGATCAGGAGGAAATGGGGATTTTGCAGCAACCTTCCCCTGCCACTCCCACCAAGTCATGCCATGCCCACTAAGCCACACCCACAGAACCAGTAGTAAAAAATTTTGAAATTCACCACTGATGATATTGTGATCTAAATTCAGATGCTTGGCAACCAGTTCATACTTATGGCCATTGCTCTGTCCCAAGGTCATGTAATCACCTTTTGCAACCTTCTGACAAGCAAAGTTAACAGGGAAACCAGATGCTCTTAACGAACTGGTTACTAACTTGCACAGTCGTAAAATGGGGCAAAACTCATTTAACAAATATCTCACTTAACAACAGAAATTTTGGGCTCAATTGTCCTTGTAAGTTGTGGACTACCTATATTACCTATTTAATCTAAACAGATACTTTCTACAAGAGAAAGTATCACATACATTCATATCCAGGGTGAAATGCTCCCGGTTCGGACTGGATTGCCTGATCCGGTAGCGATGGTGGCGGGTGATTCGGAGAACCAGTAGCAAAAATCCCTGTCCCGCCCCCATGCCCAGCTGAGCCGCACGATCATCAGAGGCTTTTTTTTTTTTTAACTTTTAAAAGCATTTTTTTCTACAACCTCTTCGGCCAAAAAAATGCTTTTAAAAGTTTTTTTAAAAGCCTCTGATGCGCTGCTCAGCTGGGATCATCAGAGGCTTCTAAGGTTGACTCAGCCTTCCATCCTTCTGAGGTAGGTAAAATGAGGACCCGGATTGTGGGGGCAATAAGCTGACTTTGTATATAAAAAAAAGAACACTGCTTAGGGGGGCCCCGAAAGCCCTACTAAGCAGGCATATACAAAAGTATGAGGGCTATTGCTTAATGCATTGTAAGCCGCCCTGAGTCTCCGGAGAAGGGCGGCATATAAATCGAACCAATAACCAATAAATAATAAATAATAAAAACATTTTTTTCTGCAACCTCTTTGGCCGAAGAGGTTGTAGGAAAAAACTGCCTTTAAAAGCCTCTGGTGATCCCAGCTGAGTTGCCTGAGCGGCAGAGGCTTCTAAAAGCATTTTTTTCTGCAACCTCTTAAGGTTGTAGAAAAAATGCTTTTAAAAGTAAAAAAAAAAAAATTGGCAACGCCCACCCAGTCACATTACCCCCCCCCACCCAAGCCACGCCCACAGAACCGGTAGTAACAAATTTTACATTTCACCACTGATTCATATCTTCATGTGTTAACTTTCGCATCAAATTAAATGCATGAAAACATTTGGGCTGCATAGAAAAGTCTTTTCTTGTAGTCAAAATTGTGATAATCTCTTGCTCTTTTCCTTCACCTGCCAAGATGAATCACCCTGATTCTGATATCACAGTATGATGTGGGTATGATTGCTGGTAGGTGATACTATGGACAAGTAAATAAGTAGAAAAGTTTTATTGAGACTTTATTAATCTACAAAATAATTCCTTATCATCTGCAGTAGTTTGTTCAGTTTTTATAAATTGTTCTCTATTAGTAATAGTTAATTCAGTTGCTTTTGGTGCTTAAAAGGGCTGCCCTCTCCAATAAAATTCAATAATTATGAATGACCCAGTCTTCTGCCTAATTCTATGCTATAAATGGTAAGAAAACAGACACGGATTCATAGTGATCTTTTTACAATATATAGTTGTAGCTTCTTTCCAATTGAAGTGAATTTGGTATCATGGATAGTAATAGCACTTAGATTTATACCACTTCACAGTGCTTTCCAGCCCCCTCTAAGCGGTTTACAGAGTCAGCATATTGCCCCCAACAATCTGGGTTCTCATTTTACCGACCTCAGAAGGATGGAAGGCTGAGTCAACCTTGAACCTGGTGAGATTTGAACTGCCAAATTGCACTCAGCCAGCAGTCAGCAGAAGTAACCTGCAGTACTGCACTCTAACCACTGCACCACCACAGCTCATGGATGCTTAGAAATGACTAAATTACAACTGTTTTATAATTTGTGATGCATCTGACAACCAGAGGTGGAAAGAGTAAAGCAAGAGGAAATAATTTATGGTGAGGCTGATGAAAATAATTTATAAAATAGTGAAGATTTTGAGCTGTAATATAGAAGATGGATCTTAAAATATGTCAATATTGATTTATGTTCTGTGTTTTGTTTTCTAGACATGGAGATGACTTGATTGTGACACCGTTTGCTCAGGTAGGTACCACATGTTATATGGCCGGATAGAAAAAAGGAGACTTTCTATTTTCAGTTTCAGGCTTCTAACTATAGCGTTGGAAGAATTATAATCCCAGCTACGGTATAATCTTAACTGGCCAAAGAAACAACTTTTATTTTTACCTGCATTGTTCGTTGAAGTCACAATCTATCATTAGTCATACACTATATAATATGATGCACTTTGACGGTGCTAGACACATCTAAGTGATGATTGCAAAGGCAAAATGCTTGACAAAAGTTCCCAAGACAGATGTTCAGGACTGAAAGCCAGCCTAGTTCTGGTGAATATACATATCCTAAGCATTATCATTTGTTAATATTTCTCCAGCTGGTATTAGTTAGGACACTATAAAGGTAACTATTTCTCTTTAAGCATATAAAGAATTATTCTCAAACATACATGCCAGTGTGTTATCAACAAAACAGGATTGAATGAATTTATTTGAAAATGTCCTTATTTCATTTAGCTACCAAATATTAAAAGGTTTTTACCACACGGATGTTTTATTTTTGTCATAATTTGGATACAAGTAGCACAAAAAAAAGTATTGTCAAAATTTTATCATTTGAGAAAGGAATAGGAGTTGATTTCTAGGAAATGTTGCTTTCCCTACAAAGACAAAGGCTACTTTTCGAAAACAAATAATGAATTGGTGTTTTAGTAAGGAAGAGAGCACTAAAACCAGTGGTGAAACTACCACTAAAACTACCGGTTCTGTGGGCGTGGCTTGGTGGGCGTGGTGTGGCTTAGTGGGCGTGGCAGGGGAAGGATACTGCAAAATCCCCATTCCCTCCCCACTCCTGGGGGAAGGATATTGCAAAATCTCCATTCCCATCCCACTCTGGGGCCAGCCAGAGGCGGTATTTGCCAGTTCTCCGAACTGCTCAAAATCTCCGCTACTGGTTCTCTAGAATCTGTCAGAATCTGCTGGATTTCACCCCTGACTAAAACTATCACCCTAGTATCATTGTAGTATGTATGCATTGCAAAATAATGAGCAATCATTTCAGGCACACACAAAAAGATATCCTGAGAAGATTAATAACTCTGGTTTCTCTTCAGATCACACAATAACTTTTGTTTAGGAAGCCATCTGTTCAGAAAGCTGTCTGTTTATTGTTGCCAAATAAATCAGGGGGAGAAAAGCAGCGTACCTGAGGAATCTTGAGAGTAAATTTTTATGCACTTTGTTTGCTTACAGGTGCTTGCCAGTTTACGTACTGTACGGAACAATTTTGCTGCATTAACCAACCTTCCGGATCGAGCACCTAGCAAGTAAGTGTGGGTTTTTTTCTGTCAAGTTTGCTTTTACTTAAATGCACCTTTTCCATTGCATACGTTCTCCATTATGTAAGCGTGCTTAAACACAACAACGTAAAACAAAGATGGGCTTCATTTAACCTGAGGCCTGCAGGAGCCCTCCAAATTCTATTTGTTTTGGCATCTCTAAATGCAGTTGCTGAAAATCAGCAGCATGGCTTCCGACTGCTTTGAGAAGGGAATACAAATGACAGTTATTACAAAAAAAAAAGAGAGAGAAAAAAAATAAGTCCCATCTGCTGAAAATGAGGAAAGTTCCAACCTTCCTCGTGTACATGATATGACCATACTTACTTTGAAAAATAAATCTCCATTCCCTCCCCACTCCAGGGGAAGGTTACTGCAAAATCCCCATTTCCTCCCGATCAGCTGGGACTCAGGAGGCAGAGAATAGATGGGGGCGGGGCCAGTCAGAGGTGGTATTTACCGGTTCTCCAAACTACTCAAAATTTCCGCTACCGGTTCTCCAGAACTGGTCAGAACCTGCTGAAACCCACCTCTGCTTCAGACCCTGGGGGAGGAGGGAAACACGTATAACCTCAACCCGTGTATTTTCTATGTTGCATTGAGTATAGCCTTTATATTATTAATTTGTATTTTTATTTATTTTTTAAAAAATATCTCAGTCTTTCCCATGGACATCTAATAATACATGAATACATGATTTCAGGATGATGCCTTATATATATGTATATATATTATTCTCTCTCTTCCTTTTTCCCCAGACGGTCACCAATGTGTAACCAACCATCTATCAACAAAGCAACCATAACAGGTAAGACACCTTAAAACAGTCACACTATTTTAATAAGGTGATGTTACCATCTTGTGAATATGGCACACTTTGGATAATTTGTTCCTGATGTATAAGTACTTTATAAAGCCTTTTAAAAGTCCATAAATCTTACTTGTAGCTCATATAAGTATATAGGTAGAATTTCTGTTTGATCTGAAATCTATCTTCCAGTTTCCCAAGTTTTTGTTTTTTGCTCATTCAAGCTACCTTATGTAATTTTTATGAGCTTTATTGCTACGAGGAGGTTGCTTTTACTATTGTTTTCCCTCTACACATCTCTCCAACTCTCTCTGTAGCTGGAAAAAAGGAGGAACAGAGGAATTCCTTCATAATACATTTAATATGAATTTGATTCAAACATGAAAATATTTCTATATTTTCCTTCCTGTTTGAATAGAAAGAAAGCAATATCTTTTTTAAAAAAAAAAAAATCCAGATCAGTGAAAATGATTGAAAAAATTCAGAACATGGGGCAGCCTTTAATATCCTTATTGTAAATGAAGGCCAACATGTGTTATATCCAGCATATTTGTACTTCCTGGGGCCCATTTAGTCAGGAATGACTTTCACTTCTGGGTGTCCCAAAGGTGCTTTTTCAAGTGACAACTGTACTTTCTGGTTTTTCTTTGAAGACGTTTCGCTTCTCATCCAAGAAGCTTCTTCAGCTTGACTGGGTGGTGGAGAATGGAAGGATTTATACTCCTTGCAGACAGCTGGACATTTGCATTCTTTTAGTGAGTCATTAAGGTCACTTGGAGATTTATGTGTCCTCAGGGTCATCTGAGTGGTGCAAATTGGTGTGGAGCCTTCTTGGAACTGTTGAAAGGACTGTGTTGTAATCCTAAAAAGTGGTAGAACCTTTCAACAGTTCCAAGAAGGCTAATTTGCACTACTCAGGTGACCCTGAGGACCCTGAGGACACAGGTGACCTTGTCCAGGTGACCTTAACGACTCGCTAAAAGAATGCAAATGACCAGCTGTGTCTATTGACTTATGCGCTCAAATTTAAGAGTGGTTTTTCCACCATTTTGATTTTCCTTCAGTGTTGTACAATGGTGCTGGATAAAGATATTTTGTGTATTTTTAAATGAATTGCTGCAATTGTTCCTTATTAAAAGTTGCTGGGAATCCATCGATGCAAGAATGGGGAACTTGAATATGGAACTACAGAATTTCAGCCAGAGTTGGATAACATCTAACAAAGAAGATTTAAATATAACGAAGTGCACTGCAGATACAGGTTAAGCTTTCAGCATGTAGTAGTAGTAGTGGTTGTAGTCATTTCTGGCAGGAACATCAGATTTATTGGTAACCATTTCCCTGACTGAAGGAATGAGGAATATTGCAATCAGCTCCCATGGTTTGAAGGACATTGATGCATGGCTAAAAGAGCATGTTAGGTTACAGAATGAATAAAAATATTGTTGGGGAAACATGCTATTTTAGCCATGCTGCAGCCTGCATTTAAAGCTGACATCCTAATTGAATCTGAGCAAATCTGCTACCTGTATTGCAAGCTTCCAGAGAACGCCTACATATATTGCCCTGAGTTCCTTTGGGGAATACAGGTGGGATGTAAATAAAGCACAGTAATTCGTCTGTTAATGTATGCCCAGGCTTGCTGCTCCAGGGGACTTTCCCATTCTCTTAGGAAAGAGGAAAACCAGTCTTTACATGCACAGAATTCTAGGTGAAATGAACAGAGAAGACTATACTGGGAAACTTCATGTGCGTGTCATTCCTTATTTTCTCTTCCCAGAAGGGATTGTTAAATCATATCACGGGAAAGTTAGCACTGATTTAAAGCTAAGCTTTAAACACCATTGCTACTACAAAATGCAAAGTAAAGCATTTTCACTTCTGTGAAATATAATACAGATAGGATGGGTTGCCCGTACGTTTTTCTTCTTCCTTTCACTTGGTGGCACATTACATTTTTATTGATCTAAGAGCAAAACTGGGCACCGAACTGAATCACTGAATTTAAAGAAAAAGAAAATGCAGATACAAAATGGGAGAATAGGAAGGAAACCATATGAATAGAGAAATGTTAGCTGTTTCCTTGTTCTAGATTGAGTCCCTGAGCCTGCAATTTAAATTTTGTAAAGTCATCTTGTAATTGCTAATTCTTACAGCCCACATCATTAGAAAATGTATAACTATAATGAAGTTGATACCAAATCAGTGTTAAAGGTGACTTAGTACTTATCCCAATCAAAACCTCAGATGTATGGATGTGACTTACTTGAAATGGTGCTTTTCTGTACTTACTGCTTTATATTACAGGATAGGCATGTATGACTTGAAGACATGCTAATGAAGATAATGTTTCATTGCAGATAAACATTTATAGAGTAAAATACAACTTCTAAAATACGAGATATTCATATATGCAGGTGTTAGGCAGTGGTGAAATCCAATTTTTTTTACTACCGGTTCTGTGGGCGTGGCTTGGTGGGCGTGGTGTGGCTTGGTGGGTGTGGCTTGGTGGGCGTGGCTTGGTGGGCATGGCAGGGAAAGGTTACTGCAAAATCCCCATTCCCACCCCACTCTGGGGCCAGCCAGAGGTGATATTTGCCGGTTTTCCGCACTACTCAAAATTTCCGCTACCAGTTCTCCAGAACCTTTCAGAACCTGCTGGATTTCACCCCTGGTGTTAGGGTTTGTAGACTTGATGTAGCCACAAGTAAGTTTAAGCCCTGCTGCTATTGATCCTGTTTTAAAAACAAGAATACTATTATCTCCTTACTTCTCTGCCCTTAATTTTACATGACTTGATTTCTTTTATTAATAGGGATGGTCTTCTTTTATAACCATTAGCTGCTTTTTCCTTTGCCATTTCCTGCCCTCTTCTCTTAATATAATTATTTGGCCAGAGTGTGTTGAATCACAGACATATACGGATTCCTATCAGCACTCTTTACAATTAATATCCAGCAGTTTGAGTTAATTTACACAGCTCTCTGAAAGTTGTAGAGTACTTCAATTCTGACAGGATAGCATTACAGCAGAAAAGTCCCATTAAAACCTTACATGAGCAAAATCAGAAGGTGAAAGATTATTATGTGGTAAATATATATCAAAATATATATAAGGCAATAATTGATGACAAGGCATGTGGTGGTGTAAGCCTTCAGGTTAGTAGAAATCCATTTTGTAATTCAGAAATAAGAATATTGATTTTATCCTGGAATGGGGAGAGAGTCTAGTCTTATGATAATGCAGCATTTTTCACAAGAATATGTTTATAGATTGCCAATATTTAATTTCTCCCCCGCTATATAATATCAGGGGAGAAAATATTTTGGGTAATTGTAAGGAAGCCAGGATAATTTTAATATAAGTATGTACAAGATTAATTTTGTGCTTATTCAGCTCTTTCCATTTTTTTCTGCACATTAAATGCAGATACTGTATTTAAAATTAACTAATCTTATGCTAGGCCACTCCGAAACCATTAGTTATAGGTCTCCAGTCCCCACTTAAGTTTTCCAGAGCATCCCCAGATTGGACAGCTAAAATTCAACGATTATCAGCTTTTAGCACCATGCTTTTACTGCCTTGAGTCATTTGAAGTTTGAAAATAGGTTGATTAACTGTATCACAACTATTTTGAAGTTTTAATTATTTAAGATTCTAAAAAGAGCTGGAATATTTTGATCCTGTTCTTCCAGTAACAAGTCTCTAATTATCAGACATACCCCTTATGATCCTCAGAGGCCAGTGTAATAAAAATACAGCTTTGAGGTTAAAAAACCCCCACATTGTTTAAAAGCTCACCCAGGGTATAAGAAATACCAATACCTTTCTTTCTCTAATAGCAATTACTAAAATGACAGGACCCCACTGTTCTGATATTCATTATTATTCCTTAAAACTAGATACCATCTTAAAATTTATTCCTTGGATTAATCCAGCATTCTTGCAACAGTAGCCTACAGTAGGCTTCAACACTATGAATGTATGTTTCATAATAACCGTAATTATTAGAAAAGGATTGCAAATTTAAAAGCTGTTGAACAGTATAATCCTGTGAAATCCTACTCATAAGTAAGTCACATGATATTTACTTTGGCTTACACTCAGGAAAATATTAATAAAGCTGAAGAGTTAAAAGAAAGTTGAAGCAAAACACTATATGAGCATAAGCATGGAATTTCCTCTGGAAGCAGCATGTGGGAGTCTGAACCTAATATTTCCCTTCTTGTAAGAAACTTTATGTCAACTTTCTCAGGTCTGAGATTTAAACTTCAAACTATAGGGTGACCCTGGATGGGTCAGATCCAACTACCTGAACAAATATAAAGCATACATACAAAAATACAAACATTTAAGAGGTACCAAAGGTACAATTTTGTATTTTGTCTGAACTGGTTTCCCTACCTCTAATTATAACATTATATTTGATGTTGCAGTAGTTACCATAACAACAGACTTTATAGCACCAGAACAGAGTTTCTAGGCAGGGTACATAAACCCCTGGTAATGTGGCAATATAAGATTTATAAAGACATGCCAAGACAAAAATAATTTTCCAGACACTTTAGCCTTTTACATCAGTTTGAAATTTGGCTCTAGATTTCTCTCTCATAGTGTTGCCAAAGGTGTTGAAGTGCTGACAATTCAACTTGTGTTCCTGGTAAAAAGTTTCCCACTTAGTGGTCTTTAAGTGCAGAACAGAGAACCTTCTTTGATAGCTTTAGGGTGATTTTTTAAAAAAAGAATGGGTTTGCCATGTACTAAATGCTTAGTGGAAGTATTAGCGATCTCAGGTTCACAACAGTTGAAGCATTCATAGTAGACTTGATAGCCAAAGTCATGGCCTCAGTCTGTATAAAATGTTGAGGTTTCCAATACTATAATTTTCTCTCAGTGTTGCCTGTAAACTCAACTTTCCTCATATTTTTGAAAAGAACTGCTTCTTCTGCTCAAAATTCAGAAAGATCTGTAATTAGAAGTGTGTGTGTGTGTGTGTGTGT